CCCCAAAACCCCAAAACCCCAAAACCCCAAAACCCCATAAAATACTATTAATATTGAATTAGTTATAATTTTATGGCTTCCAGCTTTGAGGACTGAAGGGGTTCCCTCAATCTTCCATGAAGGTGGGAGTTAATTCTCCCAAAGAGTCTTTAAAAGAGTCCTTCAAATTAGAAAATCTATGTGGTTGTGATTGCTTGTTCGAGAAACTTGAGTTCTCAATGTATGTAGATCCTTCTTTGTTAGTCCTGCTCTCGGCTGAACACTTCGATGTCGCTAGTTCTTCGGATTTTAATGAATTGGCGTCACTTGCGTAGTTTACTTTTGAGTAATTATGGTTGTATCTCTTGACCTCACTATGCCTGTGAGGCAACTGATCAACTGAGTCCTTGACTTTGCTTAAGAATCCTCCTGTCATTCAAAGATCCGATTTACTTTTGTTATTCATAAAATCACGATGCTTATTCATCTTGACTTTAGGATTGCTGACAATTTCGAACGGGTTATATGAAGATTCATTCTCCTTCATATCTTCAGTACAAACACTAGGAATGCTCAGGCTAGGTGCCACTGATGAACTTCCAGGATATACCTGGTCCAGCTCTCTCTTGCTGCTTTGTAAACCCTCGAAGCCATTTGTTTGATCCTGTTTAAACATTTTCTCTGAGTTACTCTCATTTTCTACATTTATGTTAAGCAATGAAAATTTTCAAAGAAAGTTTTGCCAATTTATAAATATTTCGGTTTCAACAATGTGAAGCATCTTGGGTTGCCATAGAGTTTTCTGTTATAATACTCTAAGTTGATAGACCTGGCAGTCATTCAAATAAATTTTCATCGTAAGAGAGGTTGAATAAGAAGATACTTATGCTAATAAGGATCAATCTCAAAGCTCTGAAGAGCTCATGGATCATATCCGCATTAAATCTTGCACTTCATGAATAAATTCGTACAATAAAGCTTGATAGGCTTACTAGAGATTTCCAAAAGTTACTTGGAAGTTTATTGTATATCCACAATTTCTCAAGTTATTTACCAGAAATGTTCATCAACTAATAGAATTTTTCATAAAGAAAGTGAAGAAATAGGACCAGATTCCTAAAATTACCTTTGGGAAAGAAAGTACAGTTATACTTAGAGTCTACTTCATCATTATACGAAGTCAGCTCCTTAGTATTATCGCATATTTTCTCGCTACTAAATGATGGGGAAGCTTGGTTCTTAGTCAAGACCCCCAACCCACTCTTGTGAGTAGCCAAATTTCCTGACTCTCTATTAGTGTTTGTAAAGATATCCATGCATAAAGTCCTTGTGTTCATAAGTTCCTTTCTGTTCAGTTGTAAGCCAGATTTAGGTTTCTTCTCAGACTTTCACTTATCGAAATTAATCTGCTTTCATAAATCAGGATCACCGTTAAGAGCTTTCTTGAAACTTACGTTCCTCTTGCGGAGGTGACGCATCCTATTTTCACTATTGCTTCTATGTGTAGGCTTAAAAGCTCTACTAAACAAAGGGATATCCTTTTGCGAATCCTGGTGAGCCGTTTGTCCGACAAGGTAGTTGTACTTCAACGAACCAACGATGTCATCTTTGTTATTGATGACGCTATGGACGTTACCAGTCGTCTTTGATGATTCTGAATACGCTCTCTTTTTGTGATCACTTCTTAATCTTTTGTTCAAAACAGGAAGTTTAAACCCCTCATTCTTTGTAGAAGCCAAGTTATAATGGTTACTGAGAGAATTGCTACCTTGCCTTCGAGTTTGCCCAAAGTTCAGGGAAGGCTTACAAATCTTCATTGCTAGCAGGAGCTCAGCATTTTGCTTGATCTGCGCTCCTCTTTTATCAAAGAGATTTGATTTAGATTTCTTCATCATTAGATTACTTTTTGTTCCAACCGTACCATTATTCGCATGAGAAATCTGAAATGGGTTATGTTGATTTTCATCCTGTCTATCACTTGATTCAGCTCTATTCCTCATATTTTGAGAGAGGACATTAGTTGGGACTCTCATCCTTGCAGAGTTACTCCCCTTCTCTTCATGAGCGTAATAATTTCCATCCTGTGTGGCTGGATTGCCTTTCATTTGTATATCAATCTTTTTAATGCAATGGTGATCTTCCTTATTATCTTGGTGAGGAGATCCACGATTATTCACAATAGATATGCTCTTATTTCCCTATCACAGGAACTTTGCCAGAAATTCTTCTTTTATTCTTTTGATAATTGACCAGGTTTTTGGCCAAGCAAGGATTTTCCCTTGAAATCTCTTTATGGGCAGATCTATTTGTCTTTAAATGTGTCGGATTATGTGAATATTCTCTTTTATTTATTTCAAAAGAATCCTTCAGGGAAATTCTTTGCCAAATTCTTATTGATTTTACTAGGAATTGCTGATATTTGAGGTCTTTTTGTCGATAATAAACTTTTATTGCTCCCTTTAGATCATAAGCTTTCTGCCATTTCTGTGCCTTGATTTTGTCTCATAAGACTCATTTTTTAATGTTATCTATTCAATAAAATTACTATGATCTGGGGTTTTGGGGTTTTGGGGTTTTGGGGTTTTGGGG